TTCATTTCACTTAATTAACATGTCTTTACATTTATCTTCATCCAATTTTGCTTATTTTGATCAATATGCGTCCTAAATTATTGGTTAAAAAATTTCAAACAGCAAAACTTTCAGCCCACACCTCAAATCATACAACTTGACTGCAATGAAAGCGCGATACCTATGAAAATGTCACAGACTGTATTGGCAGAGATGCATAGGAATGTCAGTAAAATAGTGTTGTACAATTTTTAATAGACGCATCACGCTTTTCATCAAAGACCGTAAATTTATAAATATAAGTTTATGGTTAAAAGCTGTGTGTATCCTGCAAAAATCGCGACTACTCCATGCATGCGTGTAAAGAGTACTCCCTAAGGAACAAGGAGTACTCCAAAATTAACCACGATTCATATAAAAAATATGGTCCAATTAACATTGCGATGTCCTAGGGCAGGACCATATACTCCATCCCTGCATTACATCAGAGTAGCACAAAACTACTCCAACATATTAACAATGACATTGTTGTTATATTTTTTCGTTTGTACACGCTTTTGTTCTTCACTTCTCAGATGCTTTTTCGAAATTAATAAAAACCAAAAACAAAAATTAAAAATTACATGTTGCCTCTGACGGCATTCGAACCCGAACGTGCTGGGAGCTAACAACTAAGAGCCATACCTAAATAAGCGCGTCAAGCGTTAAGCCTGTCGGCCTCTCTTCTTCTAGCGTATATAAATTTAATGCGTCAGAGAGAGATAAAGATACAAGCGAAACGCTCAACGCGCTAATTTAGGTACGGCTGTTACAGCGATCATCTCTACACGTTCAGCTACAGCCAGACATTCAAATGTGCTTTCAAATGCTTAACTTCAATCACATTTCGTTAAAACAATAAGCTGGCGCAGAGACACGAGTTGGTCCGCTACAGCATGACAGAGGAACACTTTTGTAAGTACTCCAATATACCACAAATAGACTACATGGTCCAACGATTTTTGCAGGGGTTGGCAACTTCTCGCTCTAATTCCGCCATATTGACTGCCTTACGTGAAACAGTAGGAGTGTACTCGTACGCCCAACTATCTAAAGTTTTAGAAAAATTTTACTGGTTTTGCGTTCTCGTACCCAAAAAACTTGCAAAGTAGGGGAAATTGAGAGAGCAAAATGTGAAAGAGAGCTGCAAATTTCTGCTGGAAAAATTTTTCCCAGCTAAAACTTGCAAGTAAAAAAATCAGCTGATCACAAACGCATGTTTGTAAATAAACAAAAGAAAATATGGCCTTTTTGAGTTATTTATTGCAAGTTTTATTATTAATGCTAGTATACAACGAAAAAGTGAGTAAATTTAATAAGCACAACGTTTGTTGAGTTTATTTTTCGTTCATTTGCTATTAATCTCCAGTTTAGCTCTGATCCAATACTTTTCGTGAAAAATCCTGAAAAACTGTCAAACAGCAAAATTACTCTCTGAAGTGAGAGTAAGGTCGGTGTTACGCAGACAAACTTTTGTTTGCCAAATTAAATGGCGGCTGCTTAGTTTGCTCGGAGGTGGTTATGTCGAGCTTGGCGCAGGGTTGCATGTTCATTATGGTTTTCATGGCTATTGCCAACACGAAATGAGAATTTCAGATGTACATAACGCGCATAATTTAAAATTTTTGTATATGACAACACCGAATTTGCTGCAGTTTGACCAAACAAAATTAGTTTGCTGTGAGAGTCGCCAAACTCGCTCTCTCCGAGTTTGCTGCAACAACAATTGCACGCAGTTTGCCAAACAAAATTTCTGCATAACACCGACCTAAAAAGTGAGTAACAACAAAAATTACGGGAACAAAAAAACCATTTTTCCTGTAAAAATGTCAACCAGTGATTGCTTGACACTTTTCATGATTTTACCAGAAGAAAAAGTTCGGGTAAAATCTTGCAACTTCATTCTCTACACAACTCTCCAAAAGCCGCTCTCATTTACAGGATTTTGGAGGATTTTGGAGTACGGGATCATTTTTCCTGCAACTTCCTGTAAGTTCGTGTAAAATCCTGTAAGTTCATGGAGTACTGGATCAGAGCTTTTGTTTACTCTAGTGTATGCTGACAATGGTTGCCGTATGACATTTTTCGTTTGTACCATAATTTTCCTTTCAACATACCAAACTAGATTTAAATGCAGCACGCTGAAATGTTTTTTTGCTGAAGTTTTCGGTTTTGGTAGGTTGATTGTTGAAATAAATTTTATAATTTTAAAGCTGTATCTATTACATTTCTTTCGGATCAATGATGGGTGTTTGGAGGAGATAATCTTGTTTTTGAATGCGTCACCATGTGATATCCCAAATAATTATGAAAAAAAAAATATCTTATTCATTCCGATATCATTAATTTGTATTTAAATAGGTTTTTCTTATCCAAAACTATTCAATTGTATAAAATACCAAATCGGGGGAAAATGTACCAAGCAGAAAATAAATTGCCAAATTAATCACCAGTGGCAACTGTGCAAGTGATCAGCTGTTTCGAAGGTTGCAAGTTTTTGCAAATTTTGCGTTCTCGTACTTCTGTTGATATTTCGTCTCTTTGAGAACGAATGCTGCTAAATTCTCAGAACTTTTGCTGCTGGAGAATTTTGTCCTCTCAATACGAGTACACACCTAATGTTACTTCTTTAACTATTCTTTGCCCGTTAATATAGTTGAATGTTTTTAATTTTTTCTCAGTATACACACTTTGTTTTCTTAAAAAGGTATTTTACCTTATTTCATTTCATTTCATAACGAATATATTATAAAAAAGCAAATCTTGTTTAGGAGAAAATGGCTGCATTTCTTTATTCATTCTGAACGTTTGGAATAAACTTGTTTGTTTACTTATTCTTTAGAACGTTCCTGATGATATGTTAACGTATATTTCAAACGCATTCTGTTTATTCCGGCTGTGAAATGGGATTATCCGAAATGTATAAAGAAACGCAGCCAATGTAAAATTTTTGCTGAATTTCTTTATTCATTCTGAACGTTTGGAATAAACTTTTTTGTTTACTTATTCTTTAGAACGTTCCTGATGATATGTTAACGTATATTTCAAACACATTCTGTTTATTCCGGCTGTGAAATGGGATTATCCGGAATGTATAAAGAAACGCAGCCTTTATATTTTTCCCCCATAGCTAAGGCAGTGTCAAATCGAGCTGTCACAACTGATACCACCTTGTATTATTGCATCATGGCTAAGGCCCTGTCTCCACAGGAAAACACTTATTACTTTTATACGCACGTCTTATTTGCAAATAACAATTTCCAAAATGGTAAAATTTGCCGCATAAACGCTGAGTTAATTTTTTATTTGCAAATAACTAAATCACGCAAATAAGTATTGATTAGTGGTACTATTTGCAAATAAGCGCAAGACGCCGCCATTCTTAGTTTTATTTTATTTTTCGATGGCCATCTTATTGCCTTTTTATAATCAAGACGGTACCATTTTAAAACTTTATTTTCTTTTTCGATGGGCATATTATTACCTTTTTATAATCAGGCAATAGTTGTGTTTTCGTATTCTCCAGCAAAAAAATATCCAGTAACTTGCCAGTAACCAAATTTCGGAGAGTAAGCCAATATTTACTCCCAATGAGTGAAATATGCAAGAAAGTACGAAAATGCAAAACCAGCAAGAAGTTGCTACTTTTATGAACTGCTGATTAATTTGCTATTTTCCAATGTAATTTTCTTAGAAAACTAGTATTTCCCACTTGTTATATATTTAAATAGGTTTATTTTGTCAATTGCAACTCTAAAATCACTACAAACAATTATTTTGTTAATGTGAATTACACTAAGCGTCATGCCATCAGCAAATAGTTGCTGGTAAAAATTTATCCAGTAAAAATCCAGTAAAACTTGCACGTTCAGCTGTCATTTTAGCTCTCTCAATTCTCTCTCTTTTGCTGGTTTCTTGCAAGTTTTTGCGTACGAAAACGACTTCCAGTAAAAACCAGTAAAATTAGTACTGGATTTACTGGATAGTGCGTACGCGAACACGGCTAATATGAAAAGAATCAATTAACAGCTTCTCGCTCACTATGTTTGAGTTCCGGTCGCTTAAAGAATAATTTTGCATGTGAAAGCAACAACAAAGTTAGCTAGCACGGATAGACGATAGCGAGTTTGGTTATACCTCATTGAGTTCGTTCGTTTCGCCACTCGCTAACTGTTGGCGAATCGATGACGGCTATTGTGTTCGGGCTGTGAGTTTGACATAAAAGAAGAGGAAGAGCCGTATCTTTCGCGGAAGATAGAAATAGATCTAATCTGGCTACAACCAACTTTAGCCGTCATCGATTCGCCATCAGTTAGCGAGTGACGAAACGAACGAACTTTGTTGTTGCTTTCACATGCAAAATTTTTCGTTAAGCGACCGGAACTCAAACATAGCAAGCAGCGAAGTGGCGAATCGATGACGGCTTTTGTTGTTGTTTCTTTTTAGCGACCGGAACTCAAAGATAGCGAGCAGAGAAGTGGCGAATCGATGTCGGTTATAGGTGCAATCAAGGCACATTAAACAGGTAGTATCAGTAGAGCAAAAACAACATTTGCGTGTATTTTGTTGTTGCTTCTGGTATCGAAAGTGTCAAAAACTGTTCTGAATTTTTTCTTCTAAATCAAAGCGTGCCATGTGAAATACAAAAAATTATAAAAAATAAAAAATTGAAATTGGAAAAAATAAAAATTGATGCAACTTTCTTTCCTAGTAAATTTGTTTGCTTCTCGAAGCATTGATCCATCCTTTGCAAGGCCCAGTAATCAGCGGTTGTGCTGCTGAGTTGGGCGAACGTTCCAAAAGCTGCTATTCAATCGCTTGTTTTGTATGGAAAAAGGTTTCAGATGCAAATGGATTTTAACAATTCAGAATTTTTGTGAGAAAAAATTAAAAATATTTGACATTTTCGAGACCAAATAATTTGAAAATAAATCAAATCAGCTGCTCTACTGATACTACCTGTTCAATGTACCTTGGGTGCCATGATTTGTAGCGGACATCACCTACCGGAAGAGGATGTCCTTGGAAATTTCCGTACACTAGTCTTCAGTATAAAGCCAATAAAAACTGAAATCCGATGTGGGACATGCATTTGTTTGTCGGTATGTAAATATGTATACACGATTATGATTGACGAAACCATGTACATATCATGGGCAAAACCATGATAAAAACATAGCAAGGTATAACCGTTCTCTCAATTTGTCGGCCATGATTTTTTTTTGAAGTTTGCCAACATTTTAAAATCATATAAAAGTGAAAATAAAAAATTGAAATTGTTCGAAATTGTTGTTGCTTGAGATTGAAAATGAAAATGTGTGTGTGAGTTTGTGAGTAAATTTAAAAATTAAATTGTTTGGAAACGTCAAGAATCTTAAAAGTGACTCTCAGCGGTTCTACCTTACTATATTTTTATCATGGGCAAAACTTCTTACTTCACCTCCAGCAGTAAATAAATTACATAGTTCCGTTTATACAACAAACATTTCAATCAAGTACTGTTGCCATGCCACATAGCACAAAAAATAGTACAGTATAGGTATTCAAAAAGTTCAACGCCTCGTGACCTACATTGGTTTTACAAATTGTTTTACTATACTCCGGAAACACCTAGGATACCAACCCATATTTAATAGAATCACAAAGCACACAAGGCATTTCACATTTCAATTTATTTCAATATTTTAAAAAATAATAAACTGCGCAGTTAATTCGTTTTAAGGATGCAAACAACTCAGCAGCAGGTGCATATGTACATTTTAATAGCATGCATTTAATTTAATTTCTCTTCCTTATTCAGGTTAAACGCACACGCTCCTATGTAGAAGAAGTTTATCGCCAGATAGAAGAAAAGCCGGATATACTTGATATTATAATATTGAACAAAAATGGGAATCCTGTTAAGACGACGATGGAGCCGCAATCAGCTATTGAGTTTTCCGGCCTGTACGAGGTATTGAAGGAAAAAGTTCAATCAGGCTTGCAGAAGATCGATCCTGACGATAAGCTATTGATGCTACGTGTACGTACAAAAGCAAACGAAGTGCTTATTACGCCAGATGAAAAAATTACTGTGGTGGTAGTGCAAAATGCTCAAGATAGAATACAATTATGAATTGTAATTTTGAATTTTAAAATAAATTGCTATATTAGCACATTAGAACCATTCAAAAATATAATCATATTAAAATACTATTGCATTACAACAATCGTGAATTCTTTTTCTGGAGCGACTAAATATTCAAACTTTCTAGTGACAATACGAAGAAACGTCAGATCATTAGTGGTATCCAAGTCACGCACGGCGCTGCGTGCAGTTGGTACTAGCACACCACTAATTAATTTGGTTATGCCAGCAGAAGTGCTATTGTCGAAAGTGGATTGTACTACAGTTCCCAGAGCATTATTCGACACCACATAGCCAATGGCATTTTTCATGATACGTTCTGTGTTCTCAGCATTTCTGCGTACAACGTTTTCCAGTGCAAGCGCCTGTTGTAAATAACGATCAATAAATAATAAAAGCACAAATGTGTAAAATACCAGTTTGAAAATGTTTAAAATCACACAAAAAGACTAGAAAATGTTATAAGCAATCTGCTTAAAAGGAAATAATTAAAAAATATATGGATATTTGACATGCTTTGCCAGCTATGATAGCCACTGCTTAGTTTCAAATTTACATTTTTTCACAATTATTATGTCACAGTGTCAATTTAATAAAGTTTCTGTTTATGACGGTACTATTAACTGATCCTAATAACAAAATTATTCAGTACAGTTAAAATTATTTTCTGTAGGCGGCAGTATCCGGTAAAATATCTTTAAATTGAATCTGTAGTACCAGAATAATTACTAAAATTTTTATACAATGACAATATCGTCGGTGATACTGCAAAACGGTACCCTTGACAATTAGATGGTATCTTACTTGCACCGGAATGCATCTGCAAATCGGTACACCCTAATAAACGAATGACAAAACTGTCTACATTTGGCTGGTGAAGATGAAGGATGGCCAGAAGCAATTAGATATCACCGAAGATATATCTGTGGTCATAAGCAATAGCTGCCTAAGTCACCTTAAGAAATAATTGCGTTATATATGCTATCGTGTTCTGCAACTAATATTCCATGCGCATGTGAAATCTCCATCTCGCCAGCTAGGCTGTTTAAAAAAGTTATGGACGAACATATTTTGGTTTCCTCATAAGGTTAACATTACAATCCAATGACTTTATTCATAAAAAATAAAGTAGGTTTAAAGAGCTTTACAAAGTGACGTTATCATACATTTTGCAGTTTATAAATCTTTTTTAAGCTACTTTATTTTTTATGAATAAGGCCTCAAATATTTAAAACGTTTTTCCTCGAATTCAGGCTTTTCGACTTAGGCAGTTATTGCTTTTGACCACAGATATATGTACCTACTGGTACCTACATTTAATTGTTCGAATACCGTTGTTGTTAAAATGTGTATATACAAAAATTAGAAGTCCTCAATTTAAATCATATTCACTAAAATGTGGCAAAATATTACCTTAATTTAAATCAAAGTAAAATATACAATCAATTTTTTGTGCAATAGAAAAAAAATTTACAAATATAACTTATTTTTTTCGGACAAGCACGCCACACTTTTTTAACCCTATACGAAACGTAGATTATTTATCATCACAGGGCAACCCTGATTGTGTTTTCTGCTAGGTCGATGACAACATTGATTTTCAGTCTGGTCGCGGTCCATTGCCTAAATAGAAAATTTTGCAAATCTATTAAGCTTGAGCAGTAAATTTGAGGAATTATGGTAAATATATATAGTAAATCATAATACATAAATCAACAATGTAATACATCATTTTAAATGTGTTTTTAAGTCGCAAGAAGTTGAGGAAACGCTGAAACGCATCCAGTCACATAAGGGTGTAGTCGGCACCATTGTTGTCAACAATGAAGGTAACTTTTAAACATACATATATAATCCAGACTCACCGCATCTCTTTGCTTACGTTACTGCCTCTTTACCTTAGGTATTCCAGTCAAGTCGACACTGGACAACACGACAACAGTGCAGTATGCTGGTCTTATGAGTCAACTATCTGACAAAGCACGCAGTGTTGTGCGTGATTTAGACCCTTCCAATGACCTTACTTTCCTGCGTGTACGTTCCAAAAAGCATGAGATTATGGTTGCACCCGATAAAGATTTTATTCTGATAGTTATTCAAAATCCAACTGACTAAACGGTGAAATTGAAATACTTATATTCTTAGCTACGCGAGTATTATTGTATTACCTTGCGTGAAAGCAGTAGAGCTTTGATTTTGAATTTGCATCAATCGGAAATGGAAACAAAAACACATACATCTTTTAAGATCTGCTACATTTTATGTGATTTAATGTTAGTATTAATTTTTATACAAACTTAATACAGCACAATGCAAAATGCTTTTGAGATTTAATGTTTTTGAGGGAATATTAATAGTGTTACGGGGTACTGTTTATGAATTAGTACAACGATTTTGGGTTCCTGTGCCCAAACGCGTGAATCGAATCAAAAACCTTTAACACACACTTGTAGACAACAGTTCACGCTTTATTACAAAAATAAAATTTACTATATCTGTGCACTAATTTATTAATAAAGTCGGTTGGAAATATGGTATTTATTGCAAGTTTCCGAGCTGAGCTGTCAAAAAAAAAACATCCACGAAATATCTCTCAAAGGGTGTTCAGCCCCTCTTCTTTAGCAAAACAAAAAGGAGAATTCTACTTAGTAAGGGTTATAATCCCTAAGCGCGGCCGAAGGCCGCCTACGCAGNGCCCCTCTTCTTTAGCAAAACAAAAAGGAGAATTCTACTTAGTAAGGGTTATAATCCCTAAGCGCGGCCGAAGGCCTCCTACGCAGAAAGTTGTTCAGCCCCTTTTCTTCGGTAACACAGAAAGGAGACTTCTTGGGATCTTGAGACTTGGGGTCTTTAGGGGGGAAGGGGTGAGGGGTGACTTTTCATAAAGCGGATTTCGTCCTCTTTCGTTTAGGGGGGGATTTGGGGAGCAACGCCCCTCCCCCTACGCCCCCATCCCAGAATCGTTGTACAAATAGCTAAACATTTCTCGTGTTACGATTATCCTTGACTACTTGACCGGATTTCCCAAAATCTCTCGGTTCGTATCGCTGGATTGTTAAATAAACACGATGACCAAATTACAGTACAATTAACTTTATTGTACAAAAAACACTTTAC